ACGGCTAGATTTGAGTCTGAGTGAATACGAGTGAGTCCGCTCATGACTTTCTTAGTGAAGAATCAGCTTTCTCGATCATTCAAGGTGTTAATACGGATTAACGGCAATATATCACTTAATTGGTGCTCTTCTTGGAGCCTTTTGCTATAAAACATTTCAATACCACTTTGAAGTGCTTGCGAACCAGGAAGAATATTTTGAAAGAAATTTTCTTGGAAGATACGAAAGCTTAATATATTTTTACGTAAAATGAGACGGGATGTGACTATTTGGCAGTGTACTTACACTGATAAAATCGGAGCGCAGCACACAGAGCGAGCCAACCAGTCCTCTTCGTCGTCTTCTGTCCACAGAATGGTTCACCCTTCAAGCGATAGCTATGTAGCATTACCCCCCGGTTGTAAAAGCACCGACTCAGTGCACTTTATACGTGTTCTTCAGAAGGAGGGTGGTATGGTTTCAACCTACTGACGTGGACTGTGCCACTGGGGGTGTTTGCAGACAGGTTAGTCCCGGAGACTGGAATGACCCTATGAGGTAACGTCCGGGACCAAGAATAGAATCTTGCGGAACACCTTGATTCGTAATGTTAGTGTTAGAGACCGTAAAGACCACATTTTTTTTCAATTAAACAGGTAACGTTTTAGAAAGTGTAAAGGTTGTCCAGTGATGCCGTGAGATTCTAACTTATTAAAAATAATGGAATGATTGAGAGTGTCAAAGGCTTTAGCTGAATTCAGAAAGACGGAACCTGAGAAGTGGAGCTTCAAGACAAAAATCAAACTGAGAAGAATTTTTAATATTGAATTTCAAAAGGTAAGTGTTGATAAGCTTTACAAACAAGCGTTCAAATAATTTATTTAATGATGAATGAATAGAGAGAGGCTTATAATCTTTAATATCACATTTACCGCTTTTCCTAAAAGTTGGTTAATTTTTGCACGCTTCAATGCGACAGCAAAAAACTTTTAGAAAAAAAATTACAATGATTATATGGGTAATGGCTGAGAAATGATATCAGCAGCCATCTTTTAACTGATAAGCGCAAATGTTATCCAGACTGGTAGAAGAAATTAACGCCCCGCCGCGGTGGTCTAGTGGCTAAGGTAATCGGCTGCTGACCCGCAGGTGACGGGATTGAATTCCGGCTGCGGCACCTGCATTTCGGATGGAGGCGGCAATGTTGTAGGCCCGTGTGCACAGATTCGCGTGCACGTTAAAGAACCCCAGGTGACCGAAATTTTCGGAGCCCTCCACTACCGTGTCTCTCATAATCATATGGTGGTTTGGGGACGTTAAACCACACAAATCAATCAGTCAATCAATCTGATTTTATCTTTGCTGTGAGCCAAAGTGGTAGTATCCCCGAAGATAGGTTGACACTCTTCAACTTTGCAGTGCAGTCTTTTCCTGTAGTACATAAGTACTCTTTCAGCCGACACGTCGGGTTAACGACAACTGTAGCAAAGCACCCTTCACTGAAGCTTATTTATCTAGCAATGACCAGGGCCGCCATCTTCACTGGCTCAAGCGCTACATATCACCTTACAGCTTCTGGTGTTGCTAATATCTATGTCGTTCTTGGCATCGTTACGCAGCAATAAACATATGAATGTTTATCATATCTGTGTGCGTACAACATTTGTACTTATCTTTAACGTCATTTCATAACGTTTTGCTCAATTGAAAGTAACAACACGATCACCTTCCCTCCGTATGCTTTGCCTAGCATCGATTCCCCGAATTTTTTATAAAAGAGTTCCGCAACCTGGCGTGGCTCTGTGGTGGAATACTTTATTATCACGCAGAAGTTTTTGGTTCAGTTATTTTGGGAACTATATTCATCTTCGCATTTGTAGGGTCAATGACGCGGATGTCCATTACTCTTAATGCTGTCACATTTCAATTATCAATGCCGGTCGTCACCGTTTCCTCGGTAGAGTGTTAAGCACTTGTGGCAAACAGCGGCCCATGGTATAGGGGTGTGTGCCACACTTGTATGCAGGAAGGGGTTTCACGTTGTACGCGACCGAATTTCAACATTGTTATGAGCAGATAATCATAATCATCAAACTCTCTAGTATTTCGTGGGACGTACAGGTGAGATACACCGGACGGTACCCCCAATGCATGCTGAACTTGCCATATGGGGAGCGACTGCAAGCCTCCCATACACTATACAGAAAACCCTTCGTGTCTTTACCGACACGCACGCTGCTTACTCGTAAATACTTCACCCAGCGTCAAAGGATGCTACAGCTACCGCAATTCAAAGCATCATTCGTGGGCACGAAAGCCGACAGGCCGATAGAAATCATATGAACGCTGGGGCACAAGCGTATGCCCGGGGGCAATACCAGTTGGGTTGATCTCTTTCTCTGCCCCCACCTCTCAGGGGAAACCCGTATGAGCTCTTAAGTCAAATGGCCCCCTTAGTAACCACAATTCATGACGTGTGCACGTGGCTGCGCCATACTAGTAAAACACGCATTGCGCACGTAACCCCACTAGTCCTATTTTCCAGCAAGTGTTCGCTTTCGTGCCCCCAAGATTGATTTGTGGGGTTTAACGTCCCAAAACCACCATATGATCATGAGAGACGCCGTAGTGGAGGGCTCCGGAAATTTTGACCACCTGGGGTTCTTTAACGTGCGCCCAAATCTGAGCACACGGGCCTACAACATTTCCGCCTCCATCGGAAATGCAGCCGCCGCAGCCGGGAATCGAACCCGCGACCGGCGGGTCAGCAGCCGAGTACCTTAGCCACTAGACCACCGCGGCGGGGCTCGTGCCCCCAAGAAGTCTTCATTAATAAGGTTTATGCAAATTCTGCATAAACACCATAATCCTTAGCAAAATGGACACAACCGGATATTGTGACAGGGATGTGCAATCACTTCGGGCGGCGCTGCCGCGCAGACCTTCACCATTTGCTGTGGCAGTGTTTCGCATTTGAAAAGGGCGGAAGGCCATACAATTTTGAAAGAAACACACTTTCTTAGTACGTAGGGAACGTTTTGAGGAAGTAGACAGATAGGACAGATAGGTGTGCGCTCTGTCTGTCTTCTTCCTAAAATTGTTCCCTGCGCACTAAAACAGTGTATTTCTTTCAAAAATGCATTACCGACCTGACAAAGTAGCCACTCATTTGCAGGCCCTACAAGCTTTGCAGTCTACAAATTAACGTGAAGCGCTCTTTACGGACCCGAACAGGCAGTTATTTTTGTGCAATATGGAAGGCAGAGCGGCATCATCAGAGTGGTTTAGGGGGTCCGACAAACCACAGTACCGGCCGCATACCGCCTCAGTACTCGAGAGGGCGCCTACACCAAGTGCAAATCCCATAATACCGTGAAATAGTAGTGTAGTTTAAAAGTTCCGCTTACCCTCACAGAGGTCGTGCACCTCCTCTTTTTTTTAAATAAACGAATTTCCAACCATCTATTAAAGCCTCTAACCCCCCGTGCTAATTTTTGGTCTCCCCCAAGTTAAGCAGGTGATCACGAGAGCACCCAGATGTAAGCGGCTGGAGAGATAAAGAGATGTATACGTAAATAAAAACGCTCGAAGTGTGTGCTATATGCACAGAAATACTTCGCACTTAAAAAAATTAACGTGGGCTCCTTCAATCAGAAGGAAATTTCTTTTCTTAATTGTTTTATATATGAAAGACGCACTTATGTTATCACTGTTTTTTAGTTGTTTAAAATTTTTGCTGGAGCACATTTTTCTTGCATTTTTTTGCTTTGATGATGTCTACATCATGATATATAGTACTTTTTAGTGGTTTATATAGCATGCGTTCTTTCTAATAAAGTTAGCCCCGCTGCGGTGGTCTAGTGGCTAAGGTACTCGGCTGCTGACCCGCAGGGCGCGGGTTCGAATCCCGGCTGCGGCGCCTGCATTTCCGATGGAGGCGGAAATGTTGTAGGCCCGCGTGCTCAGATTTGGGTGCACGTTAAAGAACCCCAGGTGGTCGAAATTTCCGGAGCCCTCCACTACGGCGTCTCTCATAATCATATAGTGGTTTTGGGACGTTAAACCCCACATATCAATCAATCAATTCTAATAAAGTTAGGAAGGAAGAAACAAGTGGAAGTACCGGAAGGTTAACCAATTTTTAGACAGACTTGCTGCCATTTGCTGGCAAAAGCGGTGAGCAGTGTAAACGGCCACTGGAAAGACATGTTACAAAAATAAAAGGCCAGCGACAGTAGGAAAAAATGAAAAAAAAAGAGAATACGAAACTGCTTATAGGGTCTGTCCCTAAGACCAGTTCACGGCAGGAAGGGTAATCATGGTTTTAAAGCCGTCCGAGCTGAAGATGTACTTGACCATTGTTTTAACGTCCTATTTTCCAATAAAAGAAGTTCATCACGTCCATCTAGTGCAAGGGTCGTGAATCTGCATACCGCGTGGCATAATTATGCAGCCCCCGACACGGCATCCAACTGCCTTGCCACTTCCTAGGCCGACATGACAGTTATGACCCAAAATAATAATGTTCAAAACAACGCACAAATCCCTATCAATTCACCGAATATTGCTTCTTTGCCCCCCGCTTAATCTTCCATGCAGCTTCCCGCTGCAACCTGGCCCTCCGGCTCAAAAACTTGCTGACCTCCCCCCCCCCCCCCCGCCTGGTCTAGAAAGTTCTTGTCTTGGTGCATTAAAACGGGTGCACTCACACAGAAGATGGCTGATAGTTTTTTTTATTTATTTGCAGCTGCGTTACTGCATGTAGAGTTGCTGGCCATTCCAGTAAGAAAACACCGTCAATTTGTGAAGGCCACGCCAAGCCCCATGCGGCACAAGAGTTAGTTGTGAGAAAGTGCGGTGTCGTGTGTTGTATTTCTTGCGTCCTTTTATTTAGCTCTACACACGTCAAAGATGCATAAGGTATTCTATTGCGTGGTGAAATTTATAATGAAATTAATTTCATTATGTTATGGCTCTATTATAAGTAGTAATTGCATTAGTAGCGAAATGTTCTCACTCACATATGTATCCATACAGAAGAGTAGAGAATCCAGCCAGGATGGCCAACGTGGTCATGTCGCCGAGGGCGTCTACCACTGATGTGGCTACATTGTCCGGGTTAATGTGGCAGCGGTTAGAATACGCGACCACCAGTACCATCACCGTACCTGCATTCAGTAATGAATGGATGCAGTCAAGTTACATCCGCATCGTCTAGCCACCAGTGGTATGGCTACTTAACCATTGGCATGCAAGCTTTTATGATAAACACATTCGCCTGTGTATTTAACCAAACAGTTTCACAGCAGACTATTGCAATCTTTACGAGGCAGACTTCGTTAGCCACTCATATTTCACAGACAAAACAAACATTTGTAGTGCGAGCAGGGTTGAACAAAAATGATTGACCCTGCGAATGAATGATTTTTCGCAACACTTTGAGTAGTGTGGATGTTTCACCTGTTTGATGAATGCAACCCGAACAAGTTCAAGTAGGTTGAATCAACTGTTACAAATGAAGGGCTCATCGAAAGACCATATAGCTTATATACAGAAGTTACCACTGCACGCTGCAAATGAGACAGCGCGCACGACGCAAATAGTTGCGCATACGTCTTCGGCGAACGCGAGCGCAAACCTCTCGCAAAAAGAAAGAAGTGCAGCACATTGGAAACCATGTAACTATACCTCGAATAATGCAAAATAACAGATGTATTTCATTGCGCTTAGTTGCAATTACTAATGCATTGGTCACATAGCGGTAACTCTGCAAAGCTATTAACAGTTTTTGATATGTGCATGGAAGGCTCGGCTGCGCACACATCATTAATTAGTCTCATTTAGAACACTCGATGCACGATTTCCCTATATTCATATGAGGCTTCAAGCTTGGTCGTCCCAAATTTGTGTGGCTTGTTTTGTATCAACAAATCTAGTTTGGATTTGTATAAGCAATGCATAACACGTCTTCTGCATACGCAGCTTTTACGCTAGCCTGTAAGTCATATAATGCTGTATATTCAAGGGAAATTCAAATGATTCATTGCATAGTACAATGCGTAAAAGTATACATACATTAGGGAAACACCTAGGCAATGATGACACTTTTCATAACACAAAAGGAATAGCATGTTACATATGTTTTTGTTTCACAAAAATATTTAGGTCAGTAAAATTGAATAGTTGAAGAACGATGCAACATTGGCTGGTAATGAAGCATAATAATTGTACCACTGGGGTGTTTATTTCCTATGTGGCATGAAGGAAAGCGAAAAAAAATAATAAAAATTATAAAAATTCATGTTGTCATCCTTTCGAATACGATATTTAACAGAAAGATGTGACAGACAATTTCTCTAAATGCATTTACGTTTTGTAGTGTTCTAATAACATAAATGATATTTATAGAAGGCATTTGAACAACAGTGAGAAAGCAAAAATGTGCTCCTTAAACAACAACGCTATTACATTGTTCTTTACAGAACGGCGCAATATTATCTACACTAAGCTTAGCTTCAAAACTGATTTCAGCCAAATCCTTTATTTCCTTTCCAATATATGCTTTAACAGAAGCTTGAACAAAAATTTCTCAGTTCAATTGCACGTGGCCACTGTTGTTAGCAGACTGCCGCATTTCACTGTAGGTGCTGCACCAGCCATTTCAATTCGAGTCATTCATTAGGAAACTTTCTTACTCTGAAGGCACTGCCCCATCATATGATTGCATGAAAACGATCTTGCTTTTACATTACGAAATGGCTTTTTTATTATTTTTTCTACTGAGAGAGAAGCACTGCTGTTGGTATTAAAAAATAAATGGCTGTTCTGTCACACTAGAATTTTGGCCACAGCTGAGGAACAAGCAGCCTAATATAAAGAGAGGACTTATAAAAACATTTTCACTTGACAGTATCAATGAATCTTCACGCCCATTTTACATGTGACCATCTAAGAAACAATATTAACAAATATGTAAAGCAATAACTATCCAATTTTGCGAGTGCTTTCTGAATTGAAGTTCAGCCTTTATTATACATAAGTGCTTGAACTAAGAGTGAAAGAATATCACATGTACATGCAGTCAGAGACTTCGGTAGTTGTACATAGTTGCTTAGTCAATGTCTGAGTCTTCTAAATGTGGCACTTCAAGATTTTGGCGTAAACCATGCTGAAAGAGCACTACTATGGCTCCATAAAAATAACTGTGTGGAAAACCTATTTTAAATTATCTGCATGAGAAGCAGTTTTATTGGACCACAGACGCTCACCCTGGCTCTGAATATTCGCCAGAAAAGTTTACCTTACATTGTATTTACCGATGAAATGAAAATATGAATCTCGTCAATAGGCTCTGTCTCCAAACTCTTTTTTATGCAGTGCTCAGAAATTGCGGAACAGACATCTGTGTCATACCTACTCTGACACATGATTGTTCAAGAGCAACATTTCTATTTAAATATTTAGCTAGCATACATTAAAAAACAGAATCGGGCAACTTTCGCATCAAGCATCTTGATTTACCACAACAACTTATTATTCACGGCTGAACTCGATTAGGAATTTGTGTATTTGGCAGATGCGTGCGATTGCTGGAACGTCGTCCTGCGTTGAAAAATGAAAGCATATTATGCGACTACACTTTTGTGGTCAGTTCTTGTCCGGTGCACTACATAATGTTAACTAGGGAATTATTTTGCTAGCCAAAATATAGACGGTTTGAAGGTTGCAAGCGTTGTACACCAAAAAAAAAAAAACTTCCGGTCATCTCATTTACCAGCTCCTAATCTCAAAACCAAAAGCACGGTTTCAAGTTCTTTTCAAGGGTAAAAGAAGTCTATATTGCATTTTTTACATAAAAAAAACGTGCGTAAAGTACAAGTGAATGTTTGATAATTTCTATGTAGCTCAAACGATCATTTGTTTGAATATATTTTACCGAATAATGTAAGAAAACTGCGGAAAATAAGTGGGCTTCTTTCTAAAGTTCTCCAAATGGTGGTTTTGGGACGTTAAACCCCACAAATCAATCAATTCTAAAGTTCTTCTTGGCCACAGATGCTATAAGGCGCATCGGTGTACGAAATCAGATGTCATCAAGTGGCCGTGTTTTTAAACAGTGAAAGCAGCTATACTTGCCGTCAGAGTGGAGAGAAGAACACATCATGAAGACTTTGAATATAATCATCATCATCATCAGCCTGGCTACGCCCACTGCAGGAAAAAGGCATCTCACGTGTTCCACTAGTCCACTCGGTCCTGCGCTTTCTGCTGCCACTTTATACCGAAATATCAATAGGTTGATTGAGAATGCTCGAAGTACATCCAAACACTATGCATATTCTTCATAGATTATGATTATGCATTTGATTCCTCGGATATATGAGCAGTCATGCAGACACTCAGAAATCAGGGCATCGACGAAGCATATAAAAATCCTTGAATAAATCTACACAGGATCAACTGGCACCATAATTTTCCATAAAGAAAGCGACAGAATACTAATAATGAAGTGTGTAAGGCAGTGGAATACGATCTCCCCAATGCTATTTACCGCGTGCTTACAGGATGTTTTAAAGGCCTAGGATCTGAAGAGTTAGAGATAACAGGCAATGGAGAGTACCTTAGTAACCTTTGCTTCGCCAAAGATACTGCATTGCCAAGTAACTCAGGGGACTAATTGCCATTCATGATTACTGAATTAGACAAACACAGCAGAAAGTTAGGTCTTGAAATCAATCTGCAGAAAACAAAAGTAATGTACAACATACTCGGAAGAGAACAGCGCTTCGACATAGGTAGCAGTGCACCTGACCTTGTAAAAGAGTACTTTTACTTAGGACAGGTAGTAACCGTAGAGCCGAACCACGAGATTGAAGTAACTGGAAGAATAAGGATTTGGTGAAGCCCATTTGGCAAGCATTTTGAAATTTTGACTGGTAGATTGCCACTATCCCTCATGAGGAAAGTATATAACATCTACATCTTGATGGTGCTTACCAACTGAGCAGAAACGTGGAGACTTAAGAGCAGGGTCGAGCTTAAATGGAAGACGACTGCAAATGAAAATGATCGGGGTTACTTTAACAGACTAGAAACTAGAAGCGTGGGTAAGCGAACAAACTGGGGTTAAGGATACCATAACTGGAATTAAGAAGAAGAAATGGACATGGGCGGGGCACGTAGCACGTAGGTAGGATAATCGCTGGACATTAAGGGCAACTGACTGGATTCCCAGAGGAGCCACGCGAGGGAGGGGGTGACACAAAGTTATCTGGGCAGAGGAGATTAGGAAGCTTGCTGGTGAATAAAATAATCTTGTCTCAAGTAAGAAGACTTCTAAATATTCCACTGTGCACAAGATCAATGCATTGCTGAATCAACAAATGATGCAAACATCTTTGGAAACTGTATGTCCTGAAAGAAAAGTTCTTATCATTCTATGTTATAAAAAGGTTAACCGCTTACTCACTTACTCGACAGAAATATTACAGCTGGTCTATTCTTGAAAATTTTAAGTACATTTTTGTCATGGTGTTCACTCCTTTCTCCACATGAGTACCCACAACTTCATTCAACACCTGTCATAACAATACACCAGTCGCACCAATTTTGAGTGATCGATGGCTTGTGTTTGTGACGCATTGAAAAGCTAAATTATTCCAGATTAACCCAGTCTATTTCTTTACCTGCTATCATTCATACGTACCATATTACAATAGGTTACGAACGAGAAATGTCAGGCACCTACACAGCCACTTAACATTACTTTAGCTCACATTTCATGTCATGTACTAGCACGATTTGGCTACCTCATTGCCTTTGCGCCAAAAACATCGTCATCAACTGTGCTTCCATACATACCCACCACGCACGAGCTATTTTCACGAAAAGCATTGAGTCTACCTCGATAATCGCGTGAAGAAGGTAACTTTATATTTTATGTGAGATGACCTCCACCTCAACGACACAGCCATGGAAATGGCTTTACGATGTAGTTAAGACAGTTTTACAAATAAACACAATTTACGTGCAAACCAAGAAGCCTTGGAAATGATACTGACGGATAACACAAAAGGCACCCCCGTTGTGCTTTCCAGAATTTATAGAAACGTAGAACATCCAGGCTGCTGATTTGGCATTCTAGTGAGCTTTGCGCCATTTACTACCA